TATATATATATATATATATGTACTTATAGTTTGATTACTTCTTCTTCAGCTGAGGGAAACGAGTAGCTGAACTGCCAGTTACACAGTGACTATACAGGCTCCCTGGAGTTTCCATACTGACGATATGGTAATTAAGAAATAACCATATGGTGAGCCGGGAAATCCTGCTCCCCAAGGACTGCCGTCAGGCAGCCTGGAGATTTGCGTGCTCTGCAACAGTTATGAAATAACCCCAAGGCAGTGTATAAAGCAAGGAGACGCTTTCAGTCAAGCGGCAGGTGAACTGATAGCAAGAATAACATTTGTGAGAGTAACTGCACAACAGTTCTGTTTTACTTACTAATAGGATGAGATAATTTTATGTAAATCATAAAGTTATGCAGTACAGTGTCTGTTCTCCTAAATCAGAAACCGCTTCCACGCTAGTGCCGCTACGCGGCAGAGTTTCGGACCTGTTTATGCATATGGGAGGGTAAGAGAGAGAGCTGTGTCAAGGCTAGTGCTTTTCTTTTATTGTTCCCTCTTGACATGGTTCAATTATTTTATTGGCATGATAAGGTCAAAAATTACTGCCAAGTGTATGATGCAGACAGGACAGGGCTTCTGTTCAGATCTCCGGCGCGTACCCATTTTACCCTCTTGAAGTGACTGCAGCCTATTGTAGAGCCCCAGTGCTCCAGAGTTTTACCTGAAAAATTACGTTTGGATCTTTAGAGAATGGAACAACAGCTGAATTTTCTGTCTCTGGTTAGGTGCCAAGGAAACACTCGTAATTCCCTGAACATCTCCCACAGATGTCTTCTAAAAACCAAAAGTTATTGTTAAATTATCTACAGATATTTTAGAATACAGTTGTAAGGAAAATACGGTACAAGACAAAATATGAAATACTTCTGCCTCCATATTAACAAATATTAAGTTACCAAGAATACTTAGTTATACAAGTTCTTTTGAAATTCATCTCAGAGATATTTTGCTTGCATACACCACCGGATCAGTACATTTGCTTAATCCTTTGTGTGACTGAGGAAGACACTGTATCTTTCCCAGCGAATGGGTCAGGTCCATATTTTCATTCCCGCTGAAGCAGACGTGTGTTGTTTTAAAACAAGAACCTTGTCTCTCCCGCCCACCAGCGCGCGA